ACGGCCAGCGACGACGTGAACGAAGAGACGTTTGGCGCCCGCGACGCGAGCTTTAGCTTCAACGTCGACGAGATGTTTAGCGTCAACGAACAGCTCACGGGCGTCAAGTTTACGTACAATGGCAACCCGCACGACTTTGGCAAGGTCACGACCAAGTACGTGCACACGGCGGGGTTCCAGCCGCCGCTCCCGCCGCCGCTTCCCCCGGACCGTCGCCGCCGTTGCCCCAGGGGCCGCCGCCGCCACTCCCGGTGGCTGCACCGACGACGACCAGCGCGCCGGCCAAGCCCAAGTCGCCGCAGCTCTTTGCGCCCTTCACCTTTGACGCGAGCGACATCATGGCGGTCGTGTGAGCGCGTTTGCATGTGTGTGTGTTTTTGTATTTTATTTTGTGAGCTTCTTGCTCACCGGTGTTTTTCAACACCACCCACGTACGTAAGAAGCTGTTTGAACGATCGTCATGGCGAGGAGCCCAGTGTGAAGGGCTCGCGAAGCCGTCGACATGGTGAACGCAACCAGCTACGACGTCGCTGGAGACGTTGCCCGGGCCGGTGGAGTTTGTTTTCCATGTGAGGATCTCGAACAACGTTGACGGGCCGCACTGCGTCGAAGCTCAGAGAACCTCAGTAGCATTTAGCCTGAACGCTACCAGCGGTCCCTAAAATTCAGGCGTTGCAGTGAGTCAAGTCTGTCTGGGACGCTTGAGTGAGTGAGCCGATGTTGGGTTTCAATGGAATGCCTCATTTCAGGCTCTTCAAGGCACTGGTTGCCGAAAATCGACTCGAAAAAGGCAATTTGAGGTCCATTTTAGGCAAACCGTGGGCACTGTGGAAAAGCCAGCACATGAAGGCGAGCACGGCTGCGTACGAAGCTGCGTACAACCTGCTGCCCGAGCCCACCGTGTTCGCTGCGATTGGCGCGCTGCCGCACGCGGCGCCCATCCTCTTGACGCTTGCAGGCATGGACGAGCCGCTCTCGTGGCCGCTCGGCGCCGCGCAAGCGCAGCAGATCGCGGCGCTGTACCCCCGACACCAAGATCATTCCGACCGCCGATATTGCCATTGACACGCGATACGCTCCGCACTACGACGACATGCTCGCTGCGGTCTACGAAGGCTCTGTCGAAGGCATAGTGCCGTCCAGCAACGCCGAGATGGTACTTTCGCACCTGGTCGTCGACGACGTCGGGGACGCCGAGAGCTTTCGCCTGCGTCCGACCGCCGACGAGGTCGTTCGCGCAACGACCTTTGGTGTGGCCATCGTGCTGCCTCCGTCGATGCACCAAGGCGGCGCTCTCACGCTCACGCACAGCGGGCAGTCGCAGACGTTTGATGACGAGACGCCGCTGGTCGAGACTGCGTTCGCAGCCACCTATCTCTCGACGACGATCACGTCCGAAGCGATCACGTCCGGACGCCGCGTCGCGCTCGTCTATCGCTTGTACTGCGTGGACGGCCCCGTGCACCTGGCGCCGCCAACGCTCGAGGCTGCGACCGCAGCATTCAAGGCCCTCGCGCAGTCGCCCATCGAGGGAATCCAGCGACTCGGCAAGGGCATCCTCTCAACTAGTAGCCACGACGCCCTTTCCTTCGAATCGCTCGGTATGAAGGATAAGATGTTTGTGGACGCGCTTCTCGCCACCGGCTGCTTTGACGTCAGCCTCGCCCCTCTGTACGTTGAGCCACAAGGTCGCGACTGCCATGTCAAGAACCTCCGACCACATCCCGCGTGCAACATGCCACACGCCGTCGCCCGGCACTGGCGGGGCCAATCGATCCAAGGGTTTCTCTTTCAGCCGCCTCGAAACTCGAGTGAAAGTCCGTCGAGCGCGATTGTGTTTGCGCCCAAGCGGTATCGCGCGAGCATCGTGGACGTCGGCGGTCTCTTTGCCTTTTTGGAGAAGCGGCTCGGGACGCAGCTGCACGAGGATGGTGACGCGTCGCACAACGAGGATGACGCGTACCTTGGAGTCGCCGACACTCGCGAGCTTGTGCTGGCAGCCATGCCTGTCTTTGGCATCCGCAGTGCGTCGCATGTGAGAACCATGCAAACCTCGCACCTCGAGTCCATGACGCGCATCTTGGTGGCCTTGAACGACGTCGAGCTCTCGCGCCTCTTCCTCTCGGACTATATCATGGTCCAGCACCGTTATCCTCTTCTCGAAATCGCACCATTTGTGTACCGTCTCTTGACCAAGCACGGCTGGGAGCCGCTTAGCGCGGCGATGCTCGGCCTCGTCCAGCGCTGGGCGACGGAGAATGCAATTGCAGCGCTTCAGTTGGTCACGAGCTTGGCCGGCCTCGAACCATTTAAGCCATTGTGCCCACCACTGCAGCAGCCGTTCGAGGCCGAGCTTTTCAAGCGCTGCTACCATGCTCTGCTCGCGACACCTAATGTCTGGGCCGCACCACGTAGGTATGAACGCAGCCACATCGTTCTCGAGGAAGTCCTCGTACTCGAGCACTATGTCCAAGTGACCGCGCCGCAACTCCAAGAAGCCAACTACATGAGTCAACGACTGCCGCTGCCCTTTGTCGCCGTGATCGACGCATACCTTTTCGAACCCTCGGCGGTGCTCCAGTTCGCATTGCCGGACCAACTGCTCCGGGTCTACGCCGTTGCGCTTGCCTCAGCCATGCGCCGCCAACCGTCGCTGCCACTGGCAGTCGACATCGTCGATGGCATTCTTGAGGCCGTTCGGACGCTCCGGTCGGCGAACACGTACAGAATCTACTTCCACGCATGCTACGTGTTGTACAGAGACGCGGCGGCGGCCGTTCTCTTCTTGGCGAGCCACACGCGGCGTCTCGATGCAGCTCTCTTCGACGCGTGTGTGGCCGTCTGGGGACTTGCCTTGTTTCGTACCATTGCGTCGGTTCAGCCGCATCTTGCCGACACGACGCTCTTGGGCCAGCTCGCTCTTGCGTATATTGACGCCGTCCTCGAGACGCTCGCTGTCGAGACGGCGTGGCCAGAGTGGTTGCCCCGTCCGACCGAAGAGGACAAGGATTGGGTCCAAATGGGTGCCGTGATTTTCCTGGATGTGCTGCACCTTTTGGAGCAGCTGGCTCCGGCCAAGATGGTCACGGTTGCGACGATGTGGCTGCAGGCACTGCCAACGACTCGCAACGCGCTGCACGGACACCTCTTGCCCGTGCTGGCCCGTCTTGACGAGGGCAGTCCCGTCTACCGACTGCTGGCAACGGCAGCAATCGCTCGGTCGACGCACTTGCCACCGCTCCCAGTCGTCGCACCAGCCTTTGCAATCGCGCCGCCCGAGGACCTCAACCCGGACCACTGCCAGCAGTGCAACCATGTCCACGCTTTTTACAGTCAAGCGGACACGCTTGCGATAAGCTGTGGCTGGGACGATCGCTGTTCGACCCTCGCTCGCATTGTCTCCGAAGACGATGCGCGTGTTTCCGTCCGCAGATATCGGGTCATCTACGAGGGGTTTAGCATTGAAAAGCTCGGCCCCAATGCCGAGTGGCGTGCGTACCTCGAGCAAGGCCGGATTGCAGCCCACGTGGCGGCAGCGGCTGCGGTCGAGGCGTTGAAGGGCCAGATGTCTGGGAAACACAACCATGACCAAGAGAACGACGATGCGCCGTTGGTCAAGCGCGTGCGCCGGGCATAGTGGAGCTTTGTATACTACATTGCATATTTCGTTGATCTCGTCGGCGATGTGTATTCGCAAAGGGGTCACAATTGACGTGTGGTATGATCGCACGAGACTAGAGATTCTCCGGTCGGTGGCATACCATGATGGGTATTGTACTTGGGGTTGAGGTCAAAGTGCAATAAGATATCACAGCTGCTGTTTTCTGAGCTCACGGCCACGGACACTGGAGGTATTTCGGCATTGAGAGCGGTGTTGGCGAGTCGTTCAAGAGTGCGTTATTCGGAGAGGACCAGGTTTGTGTATAATTTCTTGCACTCGTCTATGCATTAAGCGTTGGAGGTGCGAGCTGGTCGATCTTGCAAGGGGCGCATCGTTAAATGGCTTACCTCTAGACCTAGTATTGTGCATGCATCCCGAGGGAATTGGGCAAGATACCAAGCCGCAAGAGTCAATTTATTGGACGGTATATTGCAAAGTATATTGTAAAACAATTATACAATAAATACCAATTACCCATTCAAATAGCTTTTGAGTATTCCACTCAACTTGTCCAGCACCGCCGACGGTTTTATTGCAACGTGGCCGGTAATTTCGATTATATTTTGAGTGGCATGACGAACCCGAGCACGGCCGCATTGGAAGCGGCGTACAACCTGCTCCACGAGCCGAGCATGTTTGCTGCGATTGGCGCGCTGCCGCACCCGGCGCCCATCCTCTTGACGCTTGCAGGCATGGACGAGCCGCTCTCGTGGCCGCTCGGCGCCACGCAAGCGCAGCAGATCGCGGCGCTGTACCCTACCACCAAGATCATTCCGAACGCCGACATTGCCATTGACACGCGATACGCTCAGCACTACGACGACATGCTCGCTGCGGTCTACGAAGGCTCTGTCGAAGGCATCGTGCCGTCCAGCAACGCCGAGATGGTACTTTCGCACCTGGTCGTCGACGACGTCGGGGATGCCGAGAGCTTTCGCCTGCTTCCTACCGCCGACGAGGTCATCCGCGCAACGACCTTTGGTGTGGTCATCGTGCTGCTTCCGTCGATGCACCAAGGCGGCGCTCTCACGTTTACGTACAGTGGGCAGTCGCAGACGTTTGATGACAAGACGCCGCTGGTCGAGACTGCGTTCGCAGCCACCTATCTCTCGACGACGATCGCGTCCGAAGCGATCACGTCCGGACGCCGTGTCGCGCTCGTCTATCGCTTGTACTGCGTGGACGGTCCCGTGGCACCGCCAACGCTCGAGGCTGCGACCGCAGCATTCCAGGCGCTTGCGCAGTCGCCCATTGAGGGAATCCAGCGACTCGGCAAGGGCATCCGCTCACCTAGTAGCCACGACGCCCTTTCCTTCGAATCGTGGGTCTCGACGTGGCGTTGGTAAACGCCCTTCTCGCGACGGGATGCTATGATGTTGGCCTCGCCACTCGACGTCCGTGAATCCGGCACGACGATCGAGACGTTCTTGCCGCACCCGTCGTGCGCCATGCCTACTGCCGTTGTCAACGGCTGCCTTCGCAAGGACATCGAAGGTTTCTTGTTGCTGCCGCCGCCAACCGCCCGCGCGTTCAACAATCCGTCACGCGCCATCGTCTTTTGGCCCAAGCGTCACCGGTTGAGCTTGGTTGGTATCGCTGGAGTCTTCTCCGTCTTGACGCAGCGGCTCACGACAGAAGACGACGGCGAGTACCTTGGTATTTCAGAGACGCGGGAGCTCGTGCTGGCGGCCATGTCCATCTTTCACGTCTCCAATCGCTTGCCCATCGAGTCGCACGCCCGGCGCGTCTGCTTCTCGCTCGAGCGAAAGCGCCAAGGTGTACCGCGGCACCTCGAGCGCATGCAGCGCATCTTGATGGCCCTCAAGAGCGTCGAGCTCTCCGGTCTCTTCCTCTCGGACTACATCACGGTGGAGGATGCGCTTCCGTTGGCCGATATTGCGCCCATCATTTGCAGTCTCTTGGCGTTGCACGGTTGGGGCCCGCTGGAGCCTGCCATGCTCGGGCTCGTCCAGCGCTGGATCAAGACGCACGCAGACGAAACTCTTCAGCTACTCACGAGTTTGGCTGGCCTCGACACGGAGTCGCGCGTGTGCCCACCGCTTCGTCAGGCGCTCGACGCGGAGCTCTTCAAGCGCTGCTACCATATTGTACGGGCAACACCGGGTCTGCTTACCAAGCAAAGCTGGTCCGGCCGCGGCCCGATCTTTCTCAAAGGCCTCTTCTTGCTCGAGCACTATGTGCGAACGACGGTGCCGCAACTCCTCGATGCCAACTACGTACGCTTGCCGCCGGTCCTCGTCACAGCGATTGACGCCTACCTCTTTCCAGCGCTCCCGACGGTCGTGAGCTTCGAGTGCCCAACCCACGGACTTGACCTCCTCAAGGACATTGCTGTGGGTCTGGCGTCGGCGCTGCGCTGCCAGCCACTGCTGCCACTGCCGGTGACCGTGATAGACAAGATCCTTGAAGCCGTTCGAACGATGCCAATAGACGTCGCCTTCAGGCTGGAGGGCTGTATCGACATCGCCGCGGCCGTTCTCGCCTTGGCGAGTCTCGCGCAGCGGTTTGATGCTGAGCTCTTTGCCGCGTGCGAGCAAATTTGGGGTGTCGGGATGCTTCCCGCCGTTGCCTCGATCACGTCGCAATTTCAAGACACGGCGCTTCTACGCCCACTGCTCGTCGACAGCGTCGATCGTGTGGTCGAGACGCTCGCAGACCACTCGCTGTGGCAACAGGCGTGGCGCCGGCCAGTGTACGCGACCAAGGACGACGCCGCCGCCCCGATTGGCGTCTTTCTCTTCCTCGACACGGTGGACGCGTTGGAGCATGCTGCTCCGAACCACACCCATCTCTTTGCCTCGACGTGGTTACGGTCCTTGCCCGCAACGCTCGAAGTCAAGGACAGTCTGCTATTGCCGGTTGTGTCGCGCCTCGACCATGCCTCTGCCGTCTATCGCCTGCTGGCGACGGCAGCCGTCGATCGGTTTGCTGGCGAGCCGCCGCTTCCAGTCGTCTCTAACTTTTCGATGCAGCCGCACCCAAGCCTCGACAACGGACACTGCCACCAGTGTCGCAGTGCCTGTGCATTTGCTGGCGAAGCCGACAAGGCGTCAGAGCCCTGTCATGTCGGCAGAAACGAGCTGTGCCCGGACCTGGTGCGCGTTGTGGACGCAGACGCCGCACGTCTCTGCTTTGTCGACACGGACCCCGCAGACGAGACGCGAATGTATCTCGAAGGTCCACTATTCCTTGAAAAAGTCCGGCAGCCGGGTCAAGTCTCCGAGCCCGAGTGGCTCGCACACAAGGCAAAGGTCGCGATGCTGGCCCGCGTGACGGCATTGATTGAGCGTTTGAAGCACGAGCTGCCGACGAACGAAGGCGAGACCAAGGAGATGGATGCACCAGCAGCCAAGCGCTTGCGTCTTTCGTAAGGCCCAACGAAAAAGGCCTTTCTATTTGAGTTTGAGTCTGGATAAACTGGTATGTCTGTGGTGTTGGAGACGATCTGCAGCCGTCTGGATCCTTTCACGAGCAGCCTTGCGAGCCCACGGTAGTGTGTCAACGGGCTGGGAACGACTCTTTTCGTCGACGACGGCGTTTTTCAATAGCAAATGCCAGTATTCATGCACCCTAACCCTGACATATACATGTGCTTTTCCGTATTTTCGATTCAATGACGTAAAATACACAAAGACTAACCATCTCCGTATCAACTATCTCGGTGAACCGTGGTTTAGCTGGTGGTGACGGCGCGGGACTCATCTTGCTCAAGTGTACTAGTAATCGCGGAGGAATAATACCCTAACCCTATGGGTTGTGACTTTTTGTCTTTAGCACTTCATTTGGTCTACTGATCTCTTAGTTAGATGGTGCTATCGACTCGGACTGCTCTAAGCGTAAGGTCAAACGCTGGCGATGGAGTGACAGCTGGTACCTCGACGAGATATAGTTGAGGAAACCTACCACCACGTCAGCCACCACGAGGCTTTTACACTGCACTTGGGACAATATTCCACGACAAGTTGTTGTTCAGGCAGGGACATGGTACATCATCCTTCCTGAATTCAACCATTATGGGGTCACAGGACCCTACTTTTTGCCGCCACTACCGCCTTGGTTGCCGCCCAAATGGTTGCCTTGCTTGCCGACGCCGCCGCTCATGTTGCCCGTCGTGTGGGCGCCGCCGTGGGCGTGGGGCTCGGGCTTGTGCCCGCCGTCGTGGTGCTTGGTCGTGTTGGGCCACCCCGTCGCGTTGCTCTGGCCGCCGCCGTGGCCAGCACCGTGGTCGTTTGCGTGTGGCATCGTTCCTTTTTCAAAGTGAGAGCATCGAATTGTCTGCGCTGCAGAACCGTTGGCTCGTGTCCCACGTCTCGAGAAGCTTCGAAACCCTTTTCGCTCGACCAAACCGCAACGCGGAGTCAGGCTCAAGTGCCGAGCGAGACGATGGTGGTGGTTGGGTCAATTCGGATGAAAGCATTCTCCTACCTCGGTACTAGTACGAATAAGCGCGAGTATCTCGTTGGTTCCTCCCGAATGGTTGGATTTCTCTCGCCCCAAGGACGAAACATTTTACTTTGTTCAACGTTGGTTGGTTTGCGCCGCCTCGACGCGTTGCTTGAAGCGTCGCCGTGACGAGGCCGACGTCGTGTCCCAGCACCCTCAGCGAGCACCAAGCGTGCCAATTGGCACAGAATTGTTGCAGTACGAATTACACAGCCGCGACTGGTCGTTTCTCTTGGAGCGGCGAGGGCACCGCTTGGCTCCAAAAGCTCGCTGC